CCGTTCCATGAGACAGGCCATGGCGGACAGGACGTCAGACAGGATGGACTGACGCATACTACATGTCCTACGTGGACTCTCCACAAAAACCACAGACCTTACGTTGCATTGACTTAATCCTTTATCCGGGACTGACCGCCCGGCAGATCCTCTCTTCACCATTCTCCCCGACTCTCTCCCACCTATTCTTACAATCTGCACCAGAGATCACGCCAGCCCGAACTTCAGCTCGCAGATATACCGCTGCCGTGCTCGAAGAAGCTCACAGCAATTCAGTGGCATCTCAGCTATCGTTTCCGCGTAGACCATGAGATCCGGAGCATCAACGATGATCGTTGTGAGGTGACTTTTCGATGGCCTTGCTTTCGGATCTGTCTGCTGCTGACGCTGATGCTCCGCATTCGAATGCTGCCCTTCTGGCCTGCAGCTGCCTCGCTGTCCTCGTTTTATCCATCTGGGCAGCCTGCCTGCTGCTTGTCAGGGGCAAGGGATGCCGCCGCAGCTTCATGCACGCAGCCGAGCGAGTGCTGTTGGTCTTCGCACATCCCGACGACGAGGTCATGTTCTTCACGCCAACACTGGCGGAGATCCAGCGCCTCAATCAAGGGAGGAGGAGGCGCAACGAAAGCGAGATGGAGGTGCACTGGCTGTGCCTATCCACTGGTGGGTCGTTACCACGCAAGAGGTGGAAAATGCCCCTCACCGTGTGATCGTGTTGTTGTGTGTGCGTGCGTCGTTCAGGCAACTATGATGGCTTGGGAGGTGTGCGTTCCAACGAGCTGATGCGATCGGCTGAGTCCTTCGCCGTACCGGCAGACCGTGTGTGCATCGTCGATGAGGCGGACCTGCAAGATGGATGGGCGGAGTGGCCGACAGAGGCCACCTCTAATGCCGTATTCCAGACACTGATCAAAGTGCGGCCCGACACGGTGAGGCTTCGTGTGTGACGTGACAGACAGCGGAGCCATGGGTGTGTGTTCTTCCGGCACGGCTCGCTCTTTTTATGTGAATGTGCAGATTCTGACGTTCGATGAGTGGGGCGTGTCGGGGCATCCTAATCATCGGGCCGTCGGCAAGGCCATCAAGTAAGCACAGCACAAGATACACGTGACTCTGCTGTGGAAGCTTCAAGGACTGCTGCTGCTGCTATTGGTGTGCAGGTCGCTTTATGAGCGGATGAACCCCTCGGCGAGGCTGGGTGTCTACCGACTGATCTCTACGCCCCTCGTCAGGAAGTACATCGGTATGGATACCAATGCGATACGCGGAATGCGTGTTGCCCAATGCAGTGCACCACAATCTGCCCTCCTGTGCGCCCTTTCCTGTTTGTTTGCATGATCAGGCATGCTTGACGTGCCGCTTTCGTGGTGTCTCGACAGGCGTGTGTGCCCGTCCCCCCGCCCCTCCCCTCCCTCTCCGTCGTCGCTGCTCGCCCCCCCTGGATCCTTGTCTAGTCGTCCGAAGCTCGAGTTGAGGGCATTGGATGCCCTCCAGCTGTCGCCCCTGCGCGCCTTGCGGGGCATGATGAACCACAGGTCGCAGCTTGTGTGGTATCGCTACCTATTCGTCTTTTTCTCCAGGTGACACTCAACGAAACGAACGAACGAACGAACGATTGTTGATGCGTCCCTTCGTGTGTGGGTCGATCGCATCGATCGCACAGGTATGTGTACATCAACACGTACGAGAGGCTCCTCCCTCCCCCGCCGGCCAAGCCCCCCGCGCTGCCCACGCTCGACATTCTAGCGCAGCACCTCATCTCAACTGAGATCGATGACACTGATGAGCTGATGGACCCCAGCCCGTCGACCTCTTCACCATTCAGCCATCCGGAACGCGCCTCGTCACCCGCGACCGACTGCCAGCAGACAAGTGGAGCAGCAGCAGGCTGTCCGCCACCCCGGCGGCATCGAAGGCGGCAGCAGAAGGGCAGCATGGCAGCCGGGGTGTCGGATGAAGCGGCGAGCGACTCCGTGGAGGGCGACAACGGCAGGGCGGCATTGCGTCCGGGGGGAGAGGGGGAGGCGTGTGTTGCGGAGGAAGACACTGGATGAGGATAGAGACAGACAGATGTCTTCTGTGTGTGATATATGAGACATTGGCATTTTATGGCTGGCTCTTTCGATTCAGTGTGCCGCACGTGCACAGAGAGGAGGGGCTTCTGATTGTGCGGTGGTGAACGCTTTTGTTTGTTGCATATATCGGACCTGACCGACCTTTTCTTTCCCTTTTCGATTACACACACGACATGTGAAACGATTGCGGAAGGCATGAGAAATTGACACGCTTCACAAACACACATGGGCACGAACCAGCACATTCACAAGATCCGTCTCCGCCCACGCGGCACAATCCTCACGCGCCCACAGACAGACGCACCCTCACGACCGTCGCTTCGCAGTCGACTTCAACCGATCGAAAAAATCTTGCATCTCAGCATCATTATCGGCTGCTGCCCCTCCGTCATCATCCCCGCCACCCAGCGATGCCGCAGCAGCAGCTGCTGCTGCTGCTGCTGGTCCGGGTGCTCGCCCCTGTGTCATCCCCCCTCTGCCCCGGCCTCTCCCGGTGAACATGCCCCTGGGTGGCGCAAAGAATGGCGGCACCGACCGAGGTGCTGGTGGGTTGTGGATGGCCTGGGGAGGTGGTACGATGGGCCGCCAGGGGGCTGCAGATGAGGGGGCGGGGTGGTACGGGTTGGGGGGGTTCTGGTCGAGGAAGATGGAGTCAGCGGGGGTCATCATCTCGTCACCGTCCCTCTGGTAGCAGAGAAGGAGCAGATGGATTGGGCGGCTGTGTGTTGGTTTGGAAATTGCTGACCTGGGGTGCGTGTGTGCGTGCGAAGGCCGTGGGTGGTCCGTCCACTGATGAGTCGAGCGGTCTCTTGGTGCGCGACCCGCCACTTGACGATGACGAGAGCCCCTGAGCTGCGATGACCTGCACCATGGATGGGCAACACACACGACACGGCCGGCCATGAGAGGGTTGATGTGGGGAGCCGTGTGTGGTGCCATCCATCCATCCACCCTGTGTGCCATACATTTAGGCTGCGTAGTGAGATGATGAACAGTTTTCCCGTGGGTCCCTCCTCGAAGGCCGTCACCTGACACAGAGACAGACAGACAGACACGTTTATGGATGAATGAGACGGGGAGTGATCGACACGGACGTCGTTGAGTATGAGCGTCGCCCCGTGCTGCAGGGTGTGTGCAGACGCCTGCCACGCCTGAGACAAGGCAGGCAGCAAAGGACAAGGAGGAATAATCGACCGTGTGTGCAAATGGTTCGGGGTTTTCCTGTACGGTGGCCGGCTTACGTCGCGCTGCACGACGGCAGGCATCTGCCCCGTTGGGTCCTGAGAACAAGGATACAGAGCATTGCAGACAGGCCAGTGGCGTGGGGTGCGCACAGGTTCTGTGTGTCTTACTGCGACGAGTATGACGGTCCCATCGTCAGAGGACTTGATGACGCTCTTGAGCAGAACCAACATCTGCGGCACCTACACACACACCACACACGCACAGCACAGGCGAGGAGGTGCATGCCATGCGATCCTCTCTCTATACGGCCGTGGTGGCGTCACCTTCATGAAAGGTTTGTTGGACCGCAGGATGGACGCAATGTTGTTCTTAGCCACGAAACTATGGACACAGCAACCACTCCACACAAACCTGGGTGGGTGCGGTGCGTGTGAGGGTCATGGGTACCTACCTATTGGCGCTTGCAGGGTCGCTTTGCGATGGGTAGTAGGTCTTGCCGACGTGAAAATCTAACCACACACAACAGAGAGGCAAATGGGCCATCGCGGGGCTGGGCGTGTTGTGTTGTGTTGGGTGTGGTTTGCCTACCGTCATGAACAGGCAGCCCGAGGGCCTCCAGGGCCTCCATCCACGATGCAAAGTCACCCAAGAAATCTGACAAACGAAAGAAGGATTGAGATTGACACATGACGCCTTTGTCTTCGCAGCGCAGCATATTGATCACATACATGGTTTTCCGGCGTCAGCGTCACCATCGTCGTCATCCTCCTCCTCATCGTCGCCCCCACCGTCACCATCCTCACTAAGCAGACAAGAACACACACAGCGGCATGACTGACTGTAGGTGCAGTGCAGTGCACCTGGCCAGCCAGCCTACTTACTGCTTCATTCTCTTCATCTTGATGGCCCTCCGCCTGCCCATCTGCAGCCCCGCCGGACCAGGCAGCCGCATCGGACCCCCATCGCCCTCGTCGCCCACCTCATCCAACATGAAAGCATCCATGCCATCATCACCACCACCACCACGGCCTCCCCCCTCCCTCTCCCCCCCTCTGCTGTGCGATGCCTGTGATGAGGCCGCCAGTGACGACTGCACGACGCCCGAGAACGGCTTCTTGACTACCGTGCCGGGCTTCATGAGCAGGCCGCCAGCCAGTCTCTTGAGTGGCCGGGGATGGTTTGCCGTGAGCTGCGATGGCATGAAGGGCGCGGGAGGGGGAGGGGGAGGGGGAGGGGGCATGGAGGCCTGTGACGGAGGCGGGCGGAAGGGACGATTGTTGCTATTGTATGCGGCGCTGGCCTGTGGCGCCCTCTGGCTCTGCCAGAAGGGGGGCTGCTCCGATGCGGCGACGGGGTTGTCCGATGCGATGTCGTCCCAGGCCTGGCTGCTGCCGTCGTCGCGCCCAGATTGGTATGCTCTTCCGTTGCTCGGCTGGGAAGGTCCCGTCGGATGACGAAACTGCGCACCGCCCAGCGGTCGAAGCCCTGCAGGTCGCTGGGACGCCCGGAATGGAGGCTGCTGCGATGGAGGGAAGGGCGGCTGAGAGGGTAGGTGGTCCTGCGATGCCAGACCACCACTCTGCGACAAGAACGCGCCCTGCAGACCACCTCCGAACAGCCGCCTGCCGCCACCTTGTCCGCCTGCCGCTGCTGCCGCTGCTGGTGCTGCTGCTTCGCCTCCACTGTTTGACTGGATCAGCGGTCGGTTTGGCCCAGTCGGCTGCTGGAACGCTCGTCTGAAGCCCAGGGCTCCTCTGTTGAATCCGAACCGCCGGGCGGGCGCGGCCGGCTGTCGAAACGAAGGGTCCGGTGCAGCTGAAGCAGAGCCGACGCCCTCATCTTGCGAACTGCACAGAAACGCGTCCATCTTGATTTCAATGTGTTTACACAGAAAGCTCGCAATCGAAGGGAAGCACACGGCAGAGCGGAATGCAGCGGACCGTTCGTTCGATGCTTCGGCAGCATGGCTGTCGGAGGTTTGTTTCAGATCACGGCGCAGCGGACGCGCGGAGAGCACTTCGGCATCTCCTCGAGCAGGGTAGGTGCTTCGCGAGCGTCACGCTGCAGACGATGGACACGCCGAACCCACAGGTGGATATGTGAATAGGGAGGGAGGACAATGAAAGAATGCTGTTGACTGTCATGTCTGTCTGTCTGTCTATCCGTTCGTGTGTCAGGCGAAGATGTTTGAGGCTCGTGAGTCGTCGCGTGCGCAGGCCGTGACGATATTGCCCGACGAGGTCAAGGAGAACAGCTTCTTCTACCCATCGCAGAGTGGGAACACCACATGAGCACGACACGGCGCTGTTCGCCGCACTGTGTATCCGTCTGTCGTGCGCATCGCATCTGTGTGTGTCGTCAGAGAACCCCCCATCGCCCCTTGCTGCGTCACTCCTGCAGGTCAGTTCTAACCAGAGAGCAGTCGAGAAACACACGAGGCGGACTGATGTGTGCCATGTGTTGGTCAGATCCCTGGTGTGAAGAGTGTGTTGCTGGGCCACAGCTACGTGTCGGTGACCAAGGAGGACACGTCTGCGTGGGACGAGCTGGAGCATCACCTCAGGGAGATGCTCAAGAGCCACCTCGACCAAGAGAAGACCATCATCGAAACAGAAGGTGCCTGCGAACGGCCCATCACATAATCCACGTAGCTTCGTTCTGGGTGCAGTGTGTCCTTGCTGCATGTGTGTGGTAGGTATGGGTGAGCCCGCTGCGGCCAAGGAGGAAAGCCCCAGAGGTGAGGGCGAAGACGATGAAGACGGAGAGGACGACGACGACGACGAAGACGTCGTGTCGAAAGTAAAGGTACGTCAAATCAATCCGCCGACCCGAGTGCCGTCTGCATGACACTGTGTTTCAGTTAGTCACGGTCGCTTGGCTACCTGTGTTGCCTTCTTCATGTGTGTCTGTCAGAGCCTGATTGATATCCGTGTGCGGCCCTTCGTCCAGTCGGATGGTACGGTACCAACACACACACGCCCATGGGGGGGATGCAATCGGTGACACGGGGTGAGGTGATCGGGTGGGGTGCTGTGTTTGTCTCCCGTGCGGTGCGGTGGGTGCGTCAGGCGGCGATGTGGAGTTCATTCGATTCGACGACGCCAACGGGGTAAGTCAGTCAGTCATGTGGCACTCACTTGTCTTGTTGCATGTGATGTGTGATGCGATCGATGTATGTATGTATTGGATGGCATGCAATGCATTGATTGCATCATGGCCATGCATGGTGTTGTGTGCACTGCAGGTCGTGTGGGTGCACATGAAGGGTTCGTGCGAGGGCTGCCCCAGCTCAACCATCACCGTCAAACGCGGAATGGCCGAAATGCTCAAGTACTTCATCCCTGAGGTAGGGAGGGAGGTGTGGCACACACGACCACTCGTAAAAATGTGCTGTCTGTCTGTCTGTCTGTATCTACCTGCCGCCCTCCCCTCCCCTCCCTGCCCCCTCCCTGCCTGTGGACCGATTGACTGCCAAGGTTGAGGATGTGCGGACGTGTGACGAGAATGGCGACCCCTTGGACGAGGGCGAGGATGACGCGTGAATCAATCAATGGATGGCGGCCCCCGGCAGACCTGCATACATGTGCTAACTAGCTTGTGAGAGCTTGTTGGTTGGTTGATGTGTGTGTCAATGTTGTGGCTGCTGGTTCCCGGGCCGCTGTGCACTGCAGGAAGGCACAATCAGACACAAACGATTGCTGCCCCCCTAAGTTGTGCGGCGTCGTGGGAAGCCACAGCCACAGCACCACACACCATGTGATGTGTGCTGCGTCGAGTTTTTGACCGACCCACAGACAGAGATGCGGGGACAGCCGATGTTCTAGCGCTCACCTCGACGCCATGGCCTTTTTCTTGGCCGGTGGTGTGGGTGTGGAGGGATCTTGTACAGAGAGGCAGGCAGACAGACAGCGTGGCTGGGTTAGATTGACCGAGTGCGTGTGTGTGAGTGTCTGTCTGTCTGTCTGTCTGTCTGTGGCGATGTAGGGTGGTGGTGCGTGGTGTACAGCTCAGAAGGTAAGAGGTATACGATGGTAGGTTGGGTTGACCAACTCTCAGCAAAGCATGCATCTACACGAGTCCATTGGTTGAGAGTCCAAGAGAGAAACACTTAGCTGTCGATTGGAGGTCGCGCACCAGCACGGAGCGTTATCCCGACAGGCAGACAGACACGCCACGACATGCAATGCTATGCTATGGTACGGTGGGTGACTCATCTTCAATTGGCATGACTGACACAAATGCATTCATTCTTGCAGACACGAGAGAGCGAGAAACCAATCAGCACAGCCAATTAGGGCGGCCCACACCAACACGTACCTTTGTACCGACCGACATGGGGAGACAGAGAGAGAGGCGCGAGAGAGACAGAAAGACAGAGAGCGAAAAAGGCGAGAGAGCGTGTGTGTATGGGTCATCATTCAGGAGGCGGGCGCGTGCATAGAAACATATCACACACACACAGACACATCCAGTATACTCACCGAGACACACAGACATACATACATCTGTCTGTGTGTCTTTGGGTACGATCGATAGCAATGGTAAGGCAGGCAGGCAGGCCGGTAAGGGTGACGCAGACACCTTTCATGTCTTGTACACGCACACCCCACCACACCAGGCCACGCCACACGCCCAGTAGTGCCCTCCCCTCGCTGGCTGACCAACATATGCACATAAAATGCCGCCCATCAATCCATACCGATGTCTGCCGGGTGCATGGCCATTCGGAATTCTCCATCCATCCATCCAGCACACCCCCGCCAGCCGACAAATGAATTGCCGTGCGTACGCCCACCGTAAACACATCGTGCTGTCATCATATCCCTCACGTCCCACATGCAATTAGATATCGCCCATTCCCGACTATTTGTTGTCGCGTCCCGGTCTGCACATTCTCAACGTCTCTCGCTATCATCCATCGCCGTCTACCTCCCCATGCATATGGGAGACCTGACCAAGAGAGACTGGCCGCTTGAAGCCAGCAGCCCCTCTCCATTGGCCCGGTGCCGCGATATGCGTGGCGAGGCGTCATGGGACAAATGACTCGCAGAGAGCCCACAGAGACGCTTAGACACGCTCACCCACTCCTTGGCTCGGTTGCCACATGGCACTCACTGATCAGGGGGGATACAGGTGATGGATAAAAAACCATGCGCCCGTCCGGGCAGGCAGGCTGGCAGATGAGAGCCCCAAAGGCGAGGCGAGCAGCGCCACAGCATAGAGTAAGTCTACATGCCACGTGTGTATGTCATGGCGCTGCCTGCCTCTTTGCCTCCCTCCGTATGCCCCTCTGTCTGTCTGTGTTGGTCTGTGTTGCATCCCTTGCAGACAGACAGATGGCTTCCTTCGTGTGTGTCCCTCCCTGCTTTGCCACGGTCTGTCAGATCGCCCCGGTGTCATTGCCACGGGCGCGAGCACTCACTCACTCACTCACTAGCACACAACACGAGTTATGCAAGAAAGCCATCCAGGCAGCTACAAGAAGCCACCACGACCACCACCAGCAGCAGCAGCAGCGTCAGCGTATCTACAGGCAGGCAGGCAGGCCACAGCCAAAAAGCCATCAAAAACAAGACGACCCCCCGTCAAGTCAATTCGCCACCCGTTTGTCTGTCTATGCACAACAAATGAACACTCCCCTCCCCATCCCTCCCCATCCCATCAGCTGCTATGCCATGTGGTGAGCACATGCAATGGAATGGATGGATGCTATCTGCCCGTCCCCCTGTCCGACAGGCTCTGTCTGTGCCTCGCTATCGCCGAAGCGTGGGGCGTCGGCGTCATCGCCTCGCCACCACCACCACCACCGACCTCATCCCCGCCACTTCCACGTGCACCCCGGCCCCCGCCCCCGTCACCGTCACCGTCCATGGCCGATAGCTGCAGGGTGGTCTCGATTGTCCTCCGCTCCTCCTCCTCCCTCTCGGCCGTCTCCATCGACAGCTGCAGCGCGTCCTGGAGGATGCGGTCGCTGTCGCTGTCAGATGTGGAGTCGCCCAGGCCCTGCCACTCCGATTGCCGTGGCGGAATGTGCAGACAGTCGATTGGCTGTGCCCCGGCGCTGCGTGACCGCCTTCTCCTCTGCTGATGGTGTGGCTGCTGGTTGTGGTGCTGCTGGTGGCCGTTGGATGGCTCGCGCGTCCGTCTGTGTGGGTGGGGGTGGGGGTCGCTCGACTGTGACCGTCTTGGCCTCCCCCTCTGGTGGTCGGTGTTACAGCGGCCGGTGGTCAGCGTCACTCTCGACCGCTCGTGTGGGGGGACGGGGGGCGGCAGCGGCACCACAATCGGCTCCAGAGCCCTCTCGGGCCGTGTGTGTCGCCTGTCGCGCCTCATGTGCTGCAGCTGCTGCTGGTGCAGTGCGAGAGACGCACGGATGGCCACGCGGAGCTCCTCCTCTTCACGCCTGCGCGCCGCCTCGCTCCGTGAGTTGCGCCGGGAGTTGCGGGCAGACCCACCGGCCGATGATGCGGACGTGCCTGACCGGCCGCCGCCTCTGCTCGTCCGCCGCTGTGTGTCGCCACCCACGGCCGACCGAGCCGCTGACGCACGGACCTTCTTGGGTCTGTGAAGAATGGCAACACAGAGGTGTGTGTTGCGTGTGTGCGTGTCTTGGCTTCTTCTTCGGCTGCTCACCTCAGGCAGCAGAATAGGAAAGATGAGAGGCAGGAGAGGAGGAGCAAGCCAATGGCGCCCAGCAGGCCGACCAGCACTGAGGCTGACCATAGCAGGCACAGACACACAGATAGCAGCAGGAGGCATGAGAATGACGGCGCCTTATGTGTGTGTGTGTGAAGGCATACAGGGTATGGCGTCTCTGATGGGCTTGGGCACCCAGCTGATGATCTTCTCCACCAAACCCAGCTCTGGACATTGGCCACAAACACATCAGACGTATGCCAGAGGCTCCACACATCTGATGTGCACGTGTGTGTGTGTCTGCCCGACCTTCCTCCTCCGTCAGCCCTTCCAGCTTGTAATCCTCTGTGCGAACAAACCACACACGAACACGCAAAAGACGAGACCGTGAGACCCCCTCAGCCCTTCTGTGTGCCCCACCCTCTCTCTGTGCCCTCACTCACCAATGTGTGCCACCTCGGCATAGTCACCAAAGTTGCCCTGCCTGAGTGAGCTGCTGGGGTTGCGCAGCTCCTGCTGCAGCACCACTATGGCCTCGGCCGCACTCGGCTCCGTCTGCCTGAGCGTCTTGTCCTTGGAGGGCACCACCCTGAAGTGGATCTTGAGGGGCGTGCTGTCCGTGTCGACGCTGATGTCCTTGATGCGGCCGTGGGAGATGCCCAGGGCGCGGGCGACGGACGCGTGGAAGAGCTCCTGGAAGGCCTCGATGGACCCCAGCTTGGACTTGATCTTCTCGACGTCCATCAGCACTGACATGGTGGCCTGACGGGCGGGCAGGGGAAGGAAAGAAACAATGGAGACGTGTGAGTGTTTGTTGTGTATGAAGTTGCTGCTGTTGCTTCAGTGTGGGCGTATTACCACGACGATGGGCTGCCCCTGCACACAAGTGCGGCCGTCGCCCACGTAGCCCTTGATGCAGGCGCAGAAGTAACCACCCTGATCACACACGCACACACACACACACACAGAGAGAGAGAGAGAGAGAGCGCTATCCATACGTGTCGCGTGTCTCATCCACCCACTCATCCACAAAACCTGTGTTGTGTGTACCTGTGTGTTGATGCACTTGGTGTTCTGCCCGCACGCCGCCAGGCCGGATGAGCACTCATCGACGTCCTCGCAGAGGCCCCCGTTGACCACATAGCCCTCCGCACACCCGCAGTCATATCCCCCCTCCGTGTTGACGCACGACACACCAGAAGGGCACAGCTCGCTCGGCTGGTCGCTCGCGCGGTCCGCCTCGCACTCATCGATGTCGCGACACACCTCAAAGCCATCGCCCTCATAGCCCGCGGGGCACTCGCAGGTGTAAGACCCCTCCGTGTTGGTGCACACGGCCTTCTCGTGACACACGCCTTCGGTGCCTTTCCTCTCGCCCACCGAGAGCACCATGGCGATGCTGCCGTTGCCGCTGCCTGGCGGACGGGATGGCCGGCCGGAGCCTGACGACCACCCGCGGCACTCGTTGACATCCTGGCAGTGCTGCCCGTCGCCCTTGAAGCCCGCGGGGCAGCTGCATGTGAAGGGCGGCCCCTCGCTGCCGGCGACCGGGCGGCAGTCGGCGTTGGGGTGGCATGTGTCGCATGAGTCCACCTCGGTGGACGACTGCAGGGACAGGTTCGTGCCGTCGATGCCCGACGTGCCGAAGCAATCGCCGCCGTCAAAGTCATACCTGCACACACAGACAAAGAAAGGGACAGAATAATGAGACAAGGGTAGGGTGCTTTCTCGTCCATGGTGCTGTCTGTGTCAGTCAGGTCAGGGCCTGCCCGACTCACTTGGTGGTGTTGCAGACTTGGTCGCACACATCGTCCCCGATCCACTCCATCGAGCAGTGCGGCCCGTGGCTGTCATCGCTGTCGCCTGCCTCCCCGTCCTCACCCGATGAGGGCGACGGCGGCGTCCGCAGCTTCACCTCAGCCAGGTGCACCTGGTGCTTGTCAAACGCATCTTGAGCGAAGAAACCCAGGAAGGCCTTGGAAGGGAACACCCCCGAGGCGCGCATGTCCTCGCTGGTGGCGGCCGCGGCCTCCTCCTTGCTGCGGAGCGGCACTGGGCGGATTGTAAGCTCGCCAACGGTGTCTGGCTCGCCCCACAGGAAGAGCTCCTCGCTCAGGTCAGGCTGCAGCAGAAAGTCGGTGGCATTGGTGGGCAGTGAGTAGAGAATGGGTCTTAGGATGCCGCCCTGCTGGAAGGAGAGCTCGCCGAGCACGTCGTTCTCGCTGACGAACAGTGTCTTGGTGGTCTGGCCGTTGGTGCGGTCGTAGGTGAGCTCCAAGAAGGCCTCCAGGAAGTGACCGTCGCGGAGGTCACGGGGAGTGCGGTAGTACTTGAAGGGAATGCTCACGTACTCCTTCTGCACACCCACACGCACAGACGACACACACACGGTCAGCCCAGCACATCGATAAGTCACTCGTGCGGTCCGTCTGTGTGACCTTGGTGTTGGAGGCCTCTCTCTGCTTCTCGGTGGCGAACAGCCATGAGCGGTGTACGAGTTGGTCCTGGCCGTCGACAGCAGGTGGAGCGGGTCTGGGGTCCTTGCTGTCCTGTGCCAGGTGGTGCTGGCTCATCTGCCACACCTCGCCGCGCCACCAGCCCGTCAGCTCGGTGCCGCGGCCACCCGCCAGCTCACTCTGGAGGGTCTCGCCCACACTCGCCACAAACACGCGGTCGCTGCCCGCCTTCATCAGCGGACCTGGTGGGTCAAGGAATGATTCGAATCAACAGGACGGGCAGTGTGTATCGTTCGCCTCTTCTGCTCGTCTGGTCTGGTCACCTTTGAATACGAGAGAGAAGACGACAGTGGAAGGCACTCGTGCGTGTAAGTAGTAGATATGTTGGGAGGCGTCGTACATGAGCCGCCCGTCGTGGACGCCGAAGTCCTGATCCCGGTCGACGAGGGTGGCCGTGGTATCCTGTGTGACGGAGTTGGATGGCCCCGCCCAGCAGACGGAGCCCTCCTCGCTGTTGACGACGCTCTTGACGAACGACGAGTAGGTGGTGCGGATCTGGCGGAAGAACTCCTGCTGCCAGATGTAACCCACCACGGGCTGGTCACACGTCACCTAAACACCACACACCCATGCATACACAACGAAGTCACTTCCCCTCCTCTCCCCTCTGTCTGTCTTTGTCTCACTCTCACCTGTAGGTTCGAGTCCGGGAAGAATATGTTGACTCCCGTGAATCGCGCGTAGGGCTCCTTATCGACCTCGAGCAGCACCATCTGTGAGTAGAACCGCCGCACCTCCACCACCTGCCGCTGCAGCGTCTCGTCAACCTGGTTCAGCTGCAGAGCCGACCCGAGCTTGTCCAGGAAGTCGCCCAGGTCGATGCAGCCACACAAGCCGATCATACGACAGCCGGGGAGGGAGTAGGCCTGGCTGGCGGCCTTCTGGACCAGCACGCTGACGCCCTTGCCGCCGCATGAGTAGAGCGACTCGAGAAGGGTCTCAAACTGCTTCTTGAAGATGTTGAAGTCGCGGATGGCGATCAGCGACATGGTCAACGGGTGGCTGCGCACATGGCTCTGTGTAGAGCAAATAAGGGACAGGGAGAGGCGGGATGACGACACGACATGCATCCATTCTCGCAGACTTGTGTGCCACCCATCGCATCTCACCTCATAGCCTTGCAGGAGGCTCTCGCCGTATTCGTAAGCCGTGGCAGCCCGCAGACCGTCAGCCGCACGAACAGTAGGGCGCAGGTACCTGACAACACCCACACATACGCACACACAAGCCGTGCCTGCCTGTCTGTCTGTCTGTCTGTGGGCGGTTTCTTCGGTTCTCCCCCCTACGTACCTCCAGTTCCATCCGTGTCCTGGTTCGTTCTCCTCGCTGGCCATGAAGTAGTGCGTGAAGGGCCCCAGGCTCTCTATCACATTGTACGACGACATCAGACACGCATCGAAGCCCAGAAAGGCAAACTTCAAGGGCAGCGCCCCGTTGCCCTGCCCCGTCTGCTGCGCCTTGTGCACTTCGGTCGCCGTCAGGCCGTCACGCACGCCCTTCACAATCGACTGCAGCGACATGGACCGCCCGTCGCGGTTGCCGTCGTCCTCGCCGAACCCCGCCCACGCCGAGCCATGGTTCCTGCGGGGCGTGAGAAGGGGTGCGTGTGGGTGTTGTCCAGTTGGTGTGTGTGTGTGCGTGTCACGTACCACAGCGTGAGTGCGAAGTGTTCAGCGGGGAAGTCGTCGATGGATCGTGTGATGAAGCTCGACAGCACGTCGGGGTCGTTCATGTCAATCTGATTGACCAGGACCACATACACACGCACACACACACACACACACGCACAGGGCACATCACATGAATGCGATACACGTGCACGAACAAGAAGCACTTGGTTTCCCTTGAGGTCTCACCTCTCCATGGTCGCGCAGCAGGAGCCATTCGAACTGGTTGCTCTCGCCGTTCCACACCATCAGCAGCTCATAGGCCCGCTCAAACTGCAGACGGATGTCGCGCTGCGGGGTCGAGTCTGTCAGGCCGGACAAGGGGCAGGCGTGGACGCGGCCGATGGGGCTGTTGGTGTGCCCCTGGGCACGGTCGATGAGCACCACCAATGTCAGCTGGCCCTCGAACAGCGGCCGGCGCATCTCCTTGAGGTCCCATAGTGCCGACATCTCGAGGTTGTTGTCTGCGTGCATGAACACGAGGTGCGTCCAGTGGGACTTTTTGTAGCTGCCGCCCTTGGTCCGCTTCATGAGGGTGCCGCACACGCCACTCTCGGGCACACTCTCCTTGACCGAAGGCGGCTGCTCGTCCTCGGTGCTGCTCGCCACAAGTGTCGCCTCCTCCTCCCCTCGCTCTGTCGCGTCACTCTCTTGTTGCTGCTGGTCCTCCTCTGGCTGTTGTGTCTGTTGCTCGACTCCATCCTCCCTCTCTCCGTCTTGCTGCCCCCCATCATCTGGCGGCGCCCCCTGGCTGTTGTTGGCATCGCACCTGCCGGTGCCGTCGGTGTAGACAGGAACGAACACCCGTCCCTCGTCGCAGCTGAAACAGTTGTCGTCGGCCTTTGGGCAGCAGTCCTTTCTGCAGGTCATGCAGGTGGGGTGGCAGTGGCCGGGCATCTCCTCCTCGCTCGTCTTGGGCGTGCAGATGCCAGTGCCGTCCGTGTACTGGATGGCCAGAATGGACCCCTCGGGACACGACAGGCAGTTGTCGTACTTGCCCCTGCAGCAGTCGGCCCTGCACGTATCGCATGACTCGTGGCAGTGGCCGGGCTTCTTGGCGTTGGAGGTCGACGGGGTGGGCTCGTGGTCAGACGCACTCGACAGCTGCTCGTCGCAATGGTCCCAGTAGCCCAGGAAGTTGCTTTGGCAACGACACGACCCCTTGCCGCAGTGAAACTCGTCCACGTAGCACCTGACAGAGCAAAGGGACGCACAAGTCAATTAGCCACCGATCTGCGTTGCTGTCCGGTGTCTGCCTGGGTGTCGGTACCAACCATGGCTTCTCCTCGAGCAGCGACGGCGCGCATGGGTTGCCGAACAAACGCGGAGCACAGGGACACCCTGACACGCACACCGAGCATCTCTCTGTGCCCTTGTGCACCATGCAGTGCGCTCACGCCTTCTCACCTGAGTTGCTCTCGAGGGCTGCGATCTCTCGCAGCAGGACCAGCACAGCGGTGAGGGCCACCAAGCGCCACGACCACCGAGGCGCCATCGCTGGCACCTTTGATGATGAGGCAGGGCGCCCTCCCGCTATCGTCTCCAACTATCCAGCGCAGCGAGATCAGGATTCAGAACAGGACCGCGGCTGACGGCAGGGCATTGCCGAAAATATCAGGCTGGAAGTCCCGGCAATACAGCTGGCAAAACACGCGACTTCACCCAATACTCAAAAGCTCGCCATCGTTCGTAGGGTTTGGGTTCTAAACCCTTTGCCCCGCGATTCATCTCCGCAGCGGAAACAAAGCAAAACAAAGAAAAAAGATGCATTTGATCACCATCTTCCTTGCGGGCCTCTGCCTGTTGTGCATCTTCGGCACCTACGTCTAGTGGATGATCGTGGACGCCGCCCTTCACCCTCCCGCGCCTCGTCAGCTCCCCGCCCAGGTCTACCACTGAGAGAGGCAGAGGCTCCCTCTCCTGATATGATGAGGAGTGCGGAGCGCCCCCGCACGCCTCATCCCACCAAACGGGCGCGGCCAACCAAGCCCCATGCGCCCACCTCACACCCGGTGACCACCAACCAGCCCGCCTCCCAGCCTACACCTCTTGTCAAGAAAGCTGTGTTCAGTCACATTCAGTCATTCAACTGGTTCTTACAATCAGCACTGCCCCGCATCGTGGCCGAGCTGCCGGCGTTCGAGGTCGACCCGCATGAGGACTTCGACTGGCGCTCGTCGTTCCCGAGACCAACGCCACCTAAGATCTGTAAGCCAGGGGGAAGAAAGAAAGAAACACAGCCTAAACCAGAGCATCATTCCATCTGCTGCATCTCTGTGTGGTGCTGTCCGTCCTTCCAGCCCTCAAGTTCTGGCTTCGGAGCGTCGAGGTGGGGCGCCCGACTCGGTTCGAAGACACCATGATGGACCAGACTCTGTTCCCCAACCACTGCCGGGAGGCTCGTGTGCACTACGCCGCGCCCCTGACCTTCAAGTGGGCATACCAGTGGTCTGACGAGGATGAGCCGACGGAGGTGGTCGATCCTGCGGGTCAGCTGCCGATCATGGTGCAGTCGATCAAGTGCAACCTGCACGGGCTGACGAGCGAGCAGATGGTGGCCCACAAGGAGGACGAGAACGACCCCGGCGGCTACTTCATCATCAACGGCAACGAGCGGCTCATCCGGTTCGTCATCAAGCAGCGCAGCAACTACCCCATGCTGCTGCGCAAACACGCCCCCTTCAAGAGACTCGGGAAGCTCAAGTGCATGATCACCATGGCCTGCCTGCGCCAGGACGGCAGCCAGCTCGTCAACCACATCTACTCATTCCTCGACGGCACGGCCATCTTCCAGACTCTCATCAAGCGGCGGTCGGTGTACCTGCCCTTCTATTTGCTGCTGCTGGCGACCAACCCACTGCCGGCCGGCGACCAGTGCATATGGGAGCGGCTCATCGACGGCGATGTGACCAACATGCAGCTGCTCTTCCTGGTGCAGACCCTCATGGACGATGCCAAGACCAGATTCTCAACACTCTGGCCGTCGCTCAGCAGGGACAAGGTCAGGTCACAACACACACGACAGAGATGGATGAGATGGCTGAACCAATGGGTATTGTGTGATGTGTGGGCTGGTCCTGGCTGTCAGGCGCGTCAGCTGCTGGGTGACCTGATATGGGACCACATTCGCGAGCTCGTGTCGCCGTGGTGCAGCTACCGCGAGTGCAGCACGCTGTTTCTGCGCAAGTATGTGCTGCCGCACGTGGACTCGGACGCCGCCAAGTTCGACATGCTGTGCTTCATGTGGAAGAAGATGATCAGCCGCGCACACCTCAAGGGCAAACACAAAACAACGGTAGGTATCATAACAAGGGAGGGGCAAAGGCAGGCAGCCGAGAGGGGCGGGAGAGTACCACGGATGTGTGTGGGGGATTTGTGTGTTTGTGATGCATGTGCGTGTGGTCAGTATGAGAACGTGGACGCCTTTGCCTTCCAGGAGGTCATCACCCCCGGACAGATCTTCGGAGCCGTGTTCAGGGTACGCAGCCCACCCACCACCTCCTCAATCGCCTCCCTCTTCCTCTCCCGTCATGGATCCATCCTCCATGCATTCCGTGATATGTCAGGACGTGTGTGAGCAGAACTTGATGAGGATGCGCGGATCCTTCTACGGCGAGGCGAAGCAGGCGCGCAACAACAATGCCGACCCCGTGGCGCACCTCAAGTCGGCCAAGGTGTTCGAGAGGCGTGCACACGGGGCGTCGCTGGAGATCAGCTCACGCATGATCAACTTCGTCGCCACGGGCAACATCAAGACAGAGCACCTCGACCTACTGCAGGTGTGTATGTTATATGTGAGGGTGGGGAGGGAGGGAGGGAGGTGCGCTAAAGGAAAATGTCCGTGCGTGTCTGCTTGTGTGTGCTTGTGTCCTGGCTGTGCTGTGCTGTGTCGTGTTGTTTTCTTGTGTGCAGACGGCTGGTTGGTCCATCTCGGCTGAACGCATCAACTGGTACCGATTCCTGGCGCACTTCCGTGTGGTCCAGCGCGGCAGCAGATTCATGGGCTCACGAAACACCATGGTAACACATAAGCTGTCCATATGGCGTCGAGAACCTCACCCTCTTTTGTTTTGCAGCCTCGCAAGTTGCGCCCCGAGACGTGGGGCTTCCTGTGTCCCGTCCACACACCCGACGGCAGCCCATGCGGTCTTCTCCTCCACCTCACACAAGACGCATATGTGGTGAGGACATGGCACACCACAACACGCGCACACAGACCCACATTGCCCCTCTGCAATCGGTCTGTCTGTCTGTCTGTCTGTGTGTCAGACGAGCGCCCCCGTGGGGGCCTCCACTTTCGACCGCGTGGCGAAGGTGCTGACACGTCTTGGGTGCCTGGTGACATCTGCCAACGAGGCGCCGCCCTGGGGGCTGCCTGGATCGTGGGCGCACATTATCCTGGACGGCCGCATCATCGGCCGCGTCCAGATGGAGCTGCTGGAGCGGGTCTCTCTGTCGCTGAGAATGTGGAAGATACTCGGCTTCGCTGGGCTGCCCGAACACATGGAGGTCGTCGCTATCGGCCAAAATTGCGGGTGGGTGGACAGGACGATGGTCGGCAAGGGTGTGTGTGATGGGAGGCGGAGGGAGGGGTGGCATGTGCATGTGTCGGGCCCCCCTGTTGGTCGTGTGCAGGTTCTACTATCCTGGTTTGTATCTGTTCACGACCCCTGGCCGTGTGGTGCGGCCCGTCAGGAACATCAGAGCATGGCGGTCAGTCAGCCAACACACCAGCACCACATTCACCACACACCACTCATGCCTTCCTCCTTCTTGTTTCTTCTACCTACTGTTCAGGCCCGAGTGGATCGGTTCCCTGGAGCAGGGGTGGCTCAACATCGCCGTCTTCGAGACGGACATCTTCGACTTCTCCGTCGACAACCTCTGCCTGGACATGCGCCAGATGAAGCGTCTCAAGGACCAGAAGGGCGCCGACTCGCTCACCGACAAGGAGCTGCTGCACATCTGCCGCAGCACCGACCCCAAGGAGCTGTCCGACAAGCTCGACATCATCGCCAGCCAGCAGGACGTCAAAATCAAGGAGATCAAGGCGGCCATTCGCCAGGCCAAGGAGGAGCGACAGGCCCGCAGAGAGGGGCGGGAGCGGCAGAAAAAGAAGAAGAAGAAGCAACGCGCTGAGGGGGGAGGAGCGGGCGATCCCGAGGTGGATGTCGAGACCTCTGACAGTGAGGATGAGAAGCGCGCCGAGAACATGCGGATTGAGGCGGTGGTGGAGCTCTTCCGCATCGCAGAGGACCGCAAGCACACGTTCGAAGGCCTGGACGTGACGATGATGCAGCGCGTGTTGGACGCCTGTCCGGCGCCCACCCACGAGAAGCTGTGTGTAGCCGACATGATGGACCGGCACATGAAGGTGGAGGACATCCTGAGTGAGGGGGTCTACTGGGACATGCGGCCCAAGGAGCCCGCCGGGACCGTGTGGCTGGACGACGAGTTCGACCTGTACGAGAACTCGCCTGTCAAGTACACACACGTGGAGATGAAGCCGTCGGCCATGCTCTCCATCATGGCCTCACTCACGCCCTTCAGCAACCACAACCAATCGCCCAGGTGGGCACAGACATAGCCACACCCACAGCCACACACACACGTGTGCATGCTCTCTCTCTCTCTGTGTGTGTGCGTGTGTGCAGAAACATGTACCAGTGCCAGATGTTGAAGCAGACCCTTGGCATCCCCTTCCACAACACCGTGTACCGGTTTGACGTCAAGTCCTACCACCTGCACACGCCCCAGCGGCCCATCGTGCGCACCCACGAGTACGACAGCTACAACTTCGACACATACCCATGCGGCACCAATGCCATCGTCGCCGTCATCTCCTATAGCGGGTCAGTCCAGACAAACAAGACACCTTATCCATCCACCGTACATCTACGGCTGGGCCGGTGTTCTCTCTCTCTCTCTCTCTCTGTGTGTGTGTCTGTGTGTGTGTGGAAGGTATGACATGGAGGATGCGATGATCATGAACAAGGCGTCGATGGAGCGGGGACTCTGCCACGCGTCCGTCTACAAGACCAAGGTCATCGAGGCCGCCCCACCCGGACTCGACATCGTCAGCGCAACACCACACACACACCGCATACACTGAGCGACGACCGCACCGCATCGCCCCTCCTTCTCTCCCCGTTTTTGTTTGTGTGGTCAACAGAAGTATGCCAGCCCGTATCGGTTCAACAACCTCGACGCCAGTGGTGTGCGGGCCGTCAGCTCTCTCGACAAGGACGGCCTGCCCTTCATCGGCTCCAAAGTCACCGAAGGCTCACCCCTCTACAGGCATGTCAACAAGACCACACATACACACATACACACACACACTTTTTTCTCTCTCTCTGTCTGATTTGGTGCAGGATTGAGCACTCGGCGACTCGTGTGGCCAAGACGTCCTACTACAACGACGAGGAGGACGCCTTCGTGGAGCGCATCAACCGCATTAGCCCACCTGACGTGGCCGCCTACCGCAAGCAGATCTCACAGGTCGGCAAGAAGGGCGGCGGGGCCTTCTGCGCCGAGAGGGTGCTGCTCAAGCTGCGGTGCAACCGCAACCCCATTGTTGGCGACAAGTTCTCGTCGCGGCATGGGCAGAAGGGCATCCTCAGCCGACTATGGCCACACGAAGACATGCCATTCACTGTGAGTGCAGTGCATGGAGAGAGGGGGAGGGAGGGACAGGCAAGGTGGTGGGCATATTGATGGATGTGTGTGTCTTCCATGTGTGTGTGTGTGTTGTGGGTGTGCAGGAGTCCGGTCTGGTGCCTGACATTCTGTTCAACCCCCACGGTTTCCCCTCCCGCATGACCATCGGCATGCTCATCGAGAGCGTCGCCGGCAAAGTCGCCGCCATACATGGCACACCCAAACAGGCAAGCCGCCAGCAATCGGCGGGTGGATCATGGAAGCCTCTCTCTCCCTCTGTTTGTGTGCAGGACGGCACGCCGTTCCGCCGCTTCCCCAAGGTGCGCATGAACAAGCCCTGGCTCGACAACGGCGGCATGCGGGGCCTGTTGACCGACAAGGCCAAGCCCATCATGAAGGCGGTGGAGGGTTTCTTCATCCGGCCGGGCAAGATGGGCGGGCAGAAGCGGCCGGGGGTGCCTCTGGACGAGGAGGACAAGGGCGACGAGTGGGACGACAGCATCGACTACTTCGGCAAGGCGCTCACACAGGCCGGCTTCGAGTACTACGGCACCGAGCCCATGTACAGCGGCCTCTTCGGGGGGCTCATGGAGGCCGACATCTTCATCGGCATCGTCTACTACCAACGGCTCAGACACATGGTCTCGGACAAGGCACAGGTGGGTGGGCGAGAGGAGAGGGAGGGGTGTGTGTGTTGGTGTGTGAACATATGTGTGTCGGTGTGATGGCTGGTGTGTGTGCAGGTGCGTGCGACCGGTCCGGTTGACATGAACACCCGCCAGCCCGTCAAAGGCCGCAAGCGGCACGGCGGCATCCGGCTGGGCGAGATGGAACGAGACTCGCTCATCGCACACGGAGCCGCTTTCTGCCTGCACGACCGACTCATGCACGTAGGCCATGCGCATACTGCCCACATGTGTCTGTGCCATCGGCTGGCATGGTTGGGGTGTGTGTGTGTGGTTCATTCATTCAGTGCTCCGACGAGCACAAGACGTACGTGTGTCCGTCGTGTGGTTCGTTCACCTCGCCCGTGATGCCGCTGCGTGTGTCGGAGATGGAGCGTCACGGCCTCAAGAGCGCCGCACTCAGGCCAGTGCCGCGGTGCCAGGCCTGCAAGGTGCCGTGCAGACTCGTTGCCCTCCCCTTCGTCCTCAGGTCAGCACACACCACACACACCACACCACACCACACCAGACCACAACACAACACAACACAGCACAACACAACACACGGCCCACAGACACAAGAATGCCTGTGTGCTGATTCCTTGGATGTAGGTACCTGTGCGCCGAGTTGGCGGCGATCAACGTGCACGTCAAGCTGGACCTCTCCAGCCGCGGCGAGCGCATCACGGTGCCGCCCGCCCCCGAGTCGGCCACGGGCCACTGGCAGATGCACAAGGGCATCCAGCCGCCCTTCAAGGAGCCCCACCCCCACCTCATGCGCCACTCACGAGCCGGCTGGATGGCGGGCGTCAAGGACGAGGAGGGAGAGGGGGAGCTCGGCCTGCCATCCGGCCTCGAGCGGGGCCCGGTGCTGCCCACCGGTGGGGCGCGTGGTGGGGTTGGCGTCAAGAGGGAGGATGTGCCCGACAAGCTGGGCGTGGGTCGTGTGGTGGCGGGGCCTCAGCGGGTGCGGCAGCCGGAGATCAACGAACAAGAGGGGGAATTCTACTACTATGACGAATATGACGAGGTGCGCATCTGTGTGGATGGGAAGAGGAGGGCGTGTGGGGCTTACTTGTGTGTGTGGTGTGTGTGTCTGGTGTGTGTGTGTGTCAGTATCCCGACCAGGCGATGGTGGAAAATGAGATGGACGAGTATTTGGGTGACGAGGACGCCATGGATGAGGATGAGAGGGAGGAGCGGATGGGCTGCGCTGAGTGATGGATGTCCAAGACACACACACACACACTTAGGCAGCTAGGCAGATAGGCATGTGTGGCCATGACATGACCTGCTTGCTTCCTGTGGTCTTATGCGTGTTGATTGAGGATTTGTGCGTGTGAGAGGGATCCGTTACAGAGAGAGCACTTTGCTGCCTGCCTTGTCTGTCCACCAGGTGTGGTGTGCACATGATGGATGGGCCTATCTTTCTCGTTGTTGCATGCTGGCTCTGACGTTTAAGGCAAACCGACGCTCTCTTTTGTGCCGTGGTGTGTTTGCCTGGGAGGAGGGAGGGAGGGAGGGGGGGAGGGGAGAAGGAACAGACATTCTTTGACAAATACCGAAGAGCGTGCAAGTAAGTCCACATAGCGACTGACTGATTGGAGGCTAAGCTCAATGCCTGACTGAATGGCTGAATGGCTGAATGGGAATCCACAAGCACAGGACAAAGGCCACAGACGACAAATAGTCACTGGCGCTCTCAACCAATGGCTAAGTAGTAGGTAGCTACAGCGGCCTCATCATATGCCGTTTCGGCTCATGGCCCCCTGTGAGTGAGTCAGCGGTAGAGGTGTCATCCTCATCGAAGGAGAGGGCCTCAAATTTGAAGTGACTGCCCCACACCTCCATCTGATGCTTTAACGCCTCGTCAGCAAAGTGAAGCCGACACTGCAGACAGAGACAGACAGCACACACACGGACATTGGACAACAACACATCAAATCACGTTTGAGGGCCCGCCCGTCCATTGCAAAATATGCATGAGGAGGGAGGGGCTCACTCACTCACCGCAGCCGTCAGAGACACGAGTGCACCGGCGAGAGCATCGATGGCGGCGAAGACGGCTATGTAGAAGGCGGCATGAAAACGCACCGATCCACGAGGGTGATCGAAATTGCTGCAGGCAAGTGAAACCAACAAGACAAACCAGACGTGTGATCTGATGCCGGGCCGGCAAAGAAGCGACTGCTCTGCTGTGTGTACCGAAAAACGGGGGACCACAATCCAGCTGCACGCCACACAACACTCGTGGCTGTGACAGCAGCAACCAAGCAGATTGAAGGAGCGACGTAGATGGCCAGACCTCTCGACCGCATCGATACCGACAGTGCGTTGGCGACCCCACCACACGCACTCAGCAGAGAGGCCAACAGCAGCAACACTTTGAACCACTGCATCCACACACACACACACACACACACACACATCCATTGGCCCTATAAATGGCGCATTCACAACAAACTCTTCGGCACTCACTCACCGCGGCTCGTGTGTGGCTGGAGACATACAGGCGCATGAAGCCACTGTCGGCCCCATTGTCCGAGTAGGCCATCCGTTTGCTGCGTGACCTGGTGGCTGTCTCACGCAGCGGCAGCGGCATCCCCGGCCCCCGCCGATATGGTGGAGACAGCCACCGACGGCCATGCCGCCTGGCCCACAGTCTTCTCTCAATGAAGACACGCTCGTAGACGGACTCCCTCACCCGTGAGCCCTCGTGAAGACCTCTCAGGAAAGGAACAACATCACCGTCATGGGCGGACGGCAGGTCTCGGACCGTAACACCCGTGGCGTCCGCCTGGATGACCGGCCCCTCGCACCGGAACTCGCCTCTCTTGCCGACCCAGACAGGCAAGAGAAATGACGTGGTGAGGAGGCCGAACGAGAGAAGCATCATCAGGGCGGCTGCCACCAGCTGAGTGTCTCCGTCTACCACCATGGATGGCCGGCCAAATCGACGAGGGAACTGGAAAGGATCAGATCAGGCAATAATAGTCTGGGGACGAACTGAGAGACAGAAGGGGAGGGAAGGGAGAGCAAGGGGGAAACGCGGCGGGATCGGAGCAACGAGCGAGGGGCTTGGCACGGCGCCTCTGGGGTGTCCCTGTGCGGCCTTTTGCACTGGAAGCTGCTGGGGTAACCTCACAGGCGCGGTGGAGTCCGACGAGTTGCGATGCCCCACAAGCGGTAAGATGATCAAGGATATCTCAGAAAATGTCGACGCGAAGGGAGGGCCGCAGTGGAGGAGCTTTGAACTCGGACGACTTTCGAAGGCGAGCTTCCATTGCGAGCTTAGCTGAGAGATGCACCGCTGAGGTCCACCTCCCTTTTGGCCCCAGAGCAACAGCACGATGCGCGAATGACCAGATGCACGGAATGACCAGCTCACACTTTGATGAGAATGGGCGAGGCCCAACCTGAGGGCGTCAGCGAGGGCGCCGCTCCATCGTTGGGAGCTCTGATGGAGAATGGTTCATCCGCCTCATCCCTCGGCTCTTGGCTCAAGTGCTGCTGCGTCGTTAAATTCGACCCCGACATTGGCCACCATCTCGACTTTGAATACCCAGCAGACACGCTGTCCAAGACGGAGCGGAACACGGCCGTCAAGCTCAGCCTGCCCGACTACAACTCCTTCTTCAACACGACTGGTGACCTGGTCTTCAGCTACCGACTCCGCCACGACTCGTCGCTGCCCCTGGGCTCCTCCAGTATCAGCGAGCAGCAGTTCAGCTTCGGCTACGTCTTCTTCCGCACCCAGCGGGACCCTTCGGCCACGCGCGAGTTCGTCCAGACGGCCGTAGTCGTCATCTCGCCGCTGGCCTATGTCGGCTTCTTCAAGTCGCTTGTGCAGCTGCTGGGGCCGCTGTTCTTCGAGTATGGGGAGAAGGTGCTGGAGAAGGCCTGTCTGCTCATCGGCCAGTGGCCCCTGCCGCAGCCCGGCCTGTCGGTGCGCCTGGAGCTGGGGGGCTATGCATTCACGGCCACCACACCCATCCAGCCCGCCATGACCAATCCAGACCGGCTGCCCAGCCTCAAGCGCCCCTCAGCCAACCAGTCCAAGTCGTCGTCCGCAACGGCGCAGGAGGAGGCGGAGAGCAGTCACTTGCGGGCGGTCTCGCAGCCCCACTCGATGCCTACGGGAGGGCGGTCGTTCGTGTGGAACAGGTCGTCCCCGCGGCACCACACCACGACTGTCCACCGGCACAAGCCACCTGCTGGCAGCCTCCCCCGTCCCCACTCTGCTGCCCCGCATCCCCAGGAGGCCGCCAGCACTGCGCCGCCCACCCCTCCCTCTCACGACCATCGGTCCTTCATACGGAAGGCCAGCCACATGGGCGAAGTGGATGTCCCTCCCGCGGCCATGGTGGTGTCGCCCATGGCCTCCGCCCCCCTGATCTCGCCGCTTGTGAGCCGCGAGATGGTGGATGAAGAGGGCATGAAGGTGCCGAGACGCAATTCGGACACCGACGAGCCGATGAGGGAGGACCACCGGCCGGCCGACCACCAGAGAGAGGACCCCCGTTTGCTCACTAACGGCACATCCAAGGACGAGAGCGCCGTGTCCACTGAGTGGTCCGACGCCCAGGAGGTGTTTGTGATTGACACCGAGGAGGACACCACCATGTGTGCCGGCGAGGAGGCTGCCCCGTCATCCCTGGTGTCCCCCCTGAGTGTGGCCAGCGTCCCCCATCTGCCCGACGAGGACCAGGGCGGCATCAGGGGCGGCCTCAGTCCCATCCCCGAGACCGCTGAGAGAACTGACACCGTCCCCCCGCCCATTCGCGTTGTCAGGCGCCCGTCGACCCGGTCCGGGTCTCGGCGGCGCGCCAGCTCTCTCGACAGTTTCGACAGGGAGGTGCTCCGGACCACCACACGGCCATCCAACGACACACAAGCTCAAGAAGACAGCGAGAGCGACAGCGATGACGACAGCCACGCAGGGCCGGAGGAGTCGGCAGAGGATCGCCGGTTCCTGGCGCGTCATGCCGTCGTCGTCCGCGGCCGCAACGCCAAGTCCAGCCCGGGCACACGGCTGCCGAGCAAACATTCCGACGAATCGAGCCCGGAGTCGTCAGATGTCAACCTGGGCGAAAATGAGGGGCCCCGCGAGACCGAGGAGACTGTCAAGGGCCGGCAGGGGGAGTTCGGCGTTGCTCGTGAGGCGAGTTCAACCCCCACGCCGCAGATTGCCCACATCTTGGAGGGTGTGCACCAGATGATGCCTGGGCCGTTTCAGGAGCTGAACGTGTATGAGAGTTTCCAGCCGTTGCTGCCCTTCCTGTGGTTCCTGTGGGAGCTGACACTCGTGGGCGAGCCGCTCCTCATTCTATGCTCCAACTCTGCTAGGTGGGTGAATGGGTGAGGGAGACGAGGGGGGCCAGGGAGGCAGCAGTATTGTTGTCAGTCATGTCATCTGCGTGTGCATGCTGCGTTTGTGCGTGCAGGTGTTCTGATTGCGTGTTGTCCCTGATCTCGCTCATCTCGCCGCTCCTGTACGCCGGAGACTACAGGTCTGGCCAGACACATACAAGTGAATGCATTGATATCAATGCACGCACTGACTCTCGGTCGATTGCTGCGTGTCTGTCTTGTCTTGTGGTGGTGTGGGTGAGCAGGCCCTACTTCAACACATTTGATGGTGACTTCAAGCTGTACCAGCAGCTGCACGACCAGCGACACCTCCCCTGCGTCACACTCGGCGTCTCCAACCCATTCTTCCTCGAATCCATGGTCCGTCCGTCCGTTCGACCGCGCACACACGCAAACAAACACCCATGATGATCTCTCCCTCTCCATGCCATGCCATGCCATGCCGTCTGCAGAGTCACTTCCCGACCATCCTGGTGATCGATGCGGCCAAGACGGTCGTCTCCAAGTCATCCCGCCTCACATCATCCCCAGCCACCACTCTCTTCCGCAACGAGACGGCCACCGCCATCACCCTCCTGCAGTCCGTCTGCACACCCTGCCTCCCCAAAGACTCCAGGCTCCTGCGACAGCTGCTCGTTCCTCAGCAAGGCGTGGCGTCAGTGTCGCCGCAGCAGGCCCCGCTGCCGGCTGCCAGCGACCCGTCGTGGGGCTCCCCGAGCATCCAGCCCATCTTGCCGACATCTGCTCTGTCTGTGCCGTCACCAATGGCCGACAGTGGGGGTGGCGGGAGTACTGCTGTGGTGGCCACGGCAGGTGTTGCTGGTGCTGGTGCTGGTGCTGGTGGTAGTGGTGGTGGGGACCAGGAGGCCGCGTCGGCCATCAACAACTCCATGATTCGGCGGCACTTCCAGGACCTCACTCACGCCTTTCTCGCTCCATTCGAGAGATACTTCAGGGTAAATAAACACGTGGCCTGATGTATGAGCGTATGGATGAGCCCTCTCACGCCTGGCCTGATGCGCATGTCATGTACCTGTGTCTTGGTGTGCAGATGGATTTGCATCGTCTGGCCACGAATCCCTTCCAGGACCTCCCCCAGCTCCCGCCATTCAGCGAGGCAACCTTCCTGGCGTCACTCAAACCTGTCGGGGCCTTCAAGACACTGCCGAGAAACAGGTGACACACTGACCGGACAACGTCCCTGGCTGGCTGGCTGACACGATGCTGATGCATGTGTGTGTGTGTGTGTGTGTGTGTGTGCAGGTGTGTGGAGCTGTATCGCCGGTTCATCATGTCGCCCAACTTCCGGCCGTGGTTCCATCGGCAGCGCAGCAAAAGCGAGAGACTCAGGAGGGAGAGATACCTGCAGCTGGCACTCAGGGTGAGTCGGTCGGTGTGAGCGAGTCAGACTAAGGGGGCACACACCACACACAGGATCACTCACTCCACCGACACTGAGTGCCACTTATTCAAACAGCTCGCCTGCCCTTGATTTGTGTGTTTGTGTGTGGGTTTGGTGGCTCGGTTGTTTCAGACTGACTTCCCGGCTCTGATGCCTCGGCTGACGGTCATGCAGATGGTCGAAGGGTGCTCAAATCTCAGGTACATGCAGAGTAGGCAGCCAGCCAATGTTCTCCATTCTCCCCTCCTGCCATCCTCATCCCTTGTCCCTTCCAGGGACGCACTCGAAGGCTGCCCCGACGGCGTGTCACCGGTCGATCGCGAGGGCCTGGAGACGACACTGCAGGAGCTCAAGTCAGCCGTGGCCGCTCGCATGTGTGCCGAGGGGTCCTCTGCGACATTGCAGAGGAAAGGCACCCGCAAGTCCGCCCGCCACGTGGCACGCAGCACCCTGAGGGCCGAGGGGGGCGGCAGACGCACAGGTGGGTGAGTCGAGGGAGGAGGCACAACAAGGGAGGGAGACTGAGGCACACCGACCTTTATGGATCGTCTTGTGTTGCAGAGGAGGGTCAACGTGAGCCGCGTCGGGTCCCCTCCCATCACCCCAATGGCTTCGTCGCCGCCCGGCAGCAGTTCGGCTCAGAGGCCGACGAGGCGGCGGCTGACGCCAAGAACAACCCTCTCGAGTCGCTGTTCAAAGGCTTGAAGTCGGTCATCCGCAACACCAACACGATCTTCCGCGCATCATCGGGCGCGGCACCGAGCGACGGCGAGGCCGATCTCACCAGGAGGGACCAGCTTCGTTCCCATCGGTCCAACCCCACCAGCCCCGCCCCTGCTGCTGTGATGGGGGCCACTGAGCGGCTGGACTACCTGAGCCCGTCGGTGCACCGTGATGCGCCAAGACCTCAGCGCGACAAACCTCCCAAGCCGCCTACTGCCGACCGCCAGGGAACAGCTGAATCAGCTGTAGACATCACACCCACGCCCGCATCACCCGAGCCGCCACGGCCGGCGCCAGCACTCCATCCACGAGTGCCGACACCGACTGACAGAGGAGGGGCTGGACGACAGAGAGAGGCGGCGCGGCCGTCCACCATCAGCAACACGTCGGCATCGACTGAGCCTGCACCGACGGTGGCGGCCGGCAAGACTCTTGTGGCTGGTGGCCGCGCCGCGTCTGCAGCCGTGTATGTGGGGAGGGGGGTCAAGAGCAGTAAGCAGCCAGTGGGTGGTGCTGTAGGGCCGTCATCGAGTGGTGATGACGAGCCTGACGGGATATAGGCAGGCCGTCGTGTTGTGACTGACACCTACTGGGCTACTGCTGGGCGTGGGTGTGGATGTGGGGTGGGGTGGGTAGTTGTAGTGTGCATGCTGCTGTGGGTTTGAGGGAGGGAGGGAGGGAGGAGGGAGTGGGCGGCGGTTTTCTGCTGGTTTGATTGCTGCGGCTTTTTTCTGCATACCCACACTGACTGACTGATGGATTTGATTGGGTGCATTTGTGCATTTTTCGGTGCCCACATGACTCCTCCCTCTAGCTCCCTCTCCCTCTTCTCTGGCGCCACACAGACCAGACCCATCCCACACATGCATCGCAGGACACGCAATATGACAGACACGGCGACCATCCTTTTGTGTATTTGTTATCCATTGCATTGCGGGCACCGTTGCCTTGACTGACGGGGGCAGACGGACGGACGGACGGACGGACAGACCGGGGGGGGGGGGGGGGGGC